AGAATTTGAAGAAGCCTTAGTTTCTTCAACAAATAAATGGTATTTAAAAGGGAGTTTCTGGGACTTCCCTGGTGGTATAGTGGATAGGAATCTGCCTGCCAATGCAGGAAACACGAGTTTGATCCCTGGTCCAGGAGGATTGCACATACCACGGGTCAACTAAGCCCGGGCACCCCAACTACTGAAGCCCATGTGCCTAGAATGTGGGCACCCCAACAGGAGCAACCGCCTCAAGGAGATGCCCGCGCACTGCAATGAAGAGTAGCCCCCACTTGCAGCAACGAAGACCCAAAGATAAAATAAAAGGGAGTTTTTATTACAGAGTAAGAAAACTTTTAAAAGACACATCAAATGTAACGCGTGGAAATGTTTAAATCCTAATTCAAACATGCCAATGGTGGAAAGACACTTCTGAGACAGAAAACTGAACACAGACTAGATATTGCTATTGTTGTCATTTAGTTGCTTAGTCGTGTCCAACTCTTTGCAACCCCATGGACTGCAGCACGCCAGGCTCTTCTGTCCATGGGATTTCCCAGGCAAGAATACTGGAGTAATCCTGACAGCATGTAGCAGTGTTTAATAAAGTGTTTACAGATGAAATAATAGGATGCCTGGAATTCATATTAAAATACTCAAGCCAAAAAAATTAAAAAAGGAGAGGAAAAAAGTGGGGCAGGGAATAGCTGAAGAAAGAGTGGCAAAAATATTGAAGTGATTGAGGTGATGGGTAAAAGGGGATTCATTATATACTCTACTTAATAATGTATGTTTGAAAATGTCCATAAAATTTTTTTGAAAAATGTATTTGGCTGCACCTAGTCTTAATTGCAGCATATGGACTCTAAGTTGTGGCATGTAGGATCTCGTTCCCTGATCAGGAATCAAACCTAGGCCACCTGCATTGGGAGGATGGAGTCTTAGTCACTGGATCACCAGGAATTCCCCATGATAAATTTTAAACTTGCAATATAGACTCACATATTTGTGTTTTCCTAAGTGTGATCCCTTATCTCTAGGTGAGAAAAGTGGAATTCCTAAATTTAAGGAAGGAAAATTTTTACTTCAACAAGAAATCGCCAAATTTTTCTCCAGGTGTTTGTAATGAAGGGATTCAGGATATTCTACCCCCAAATAAGCACCTTGGCATGCTCAACATTTTAAGCCAACTGCACTGGAAAAACAACAGGTGCAGAAAGGACTCCCTGACCTTCCCCTGAAGCAGGTCATAAAACCCTCACATGAGAGGTGCCCTCCCTCTGCCCAGAGGGAAAGGAGTATGTTTTCTCCAAGACTGAGGAATGCCAAGAGGAATCTGAACACAGAGGCCTTGCTGTTTCAGCTAGTTACACACTTATACTCCTTTCCATCCTATCACATTTTGTCATACCCTCCACTCTTCATCAAACATAGCAAAACACTCAGGTTTAACCAATTCTTCAGGTCATTTCATTATGAAGGCTCCTGGTCACATCAAACTTAAATAAATCTGTATTTTTTTATCTTGTTAATCTGCCTTTTGTTACAGGGTCCCAGCTAAAAAATTTGATAGGTAGATATCTTTCCTCCTCTTACAGTAACAAATTGCCTTCTTACCAGTTTTCCCATAATCCTTAAACCCTTGTTGATATTTTAATTTGTTAATTTGATGGATAAAATAGTATCATATAATTGGTTTTTTTTTTCATATAATTGTTTTAAATGATGTTTTCCTGGTGGTTGTACTTCTTCATTCTTTTTATACTACCTACATTTCTTATGAAAGTTACTTTTCATATCCTTTGCCCATTATTTCCTTGCCTTTTTCTTATTATAGTTTTTCACCTGTTGTTGTTTAGCTGCTCAGTTGTCTCTGACTCTTTGTGACCCCATGGACTGTAACCTGCCAAGATCCTCTGTTCATGGGATTTCCCAGGCAGAAATACTGAAGCAGTTTGCCATTTCCTTCTCCGGGGGATCTTCCTGACCCAGGAATCAAAACAGCATCTCCTGCTTGGCAGGCAGATTCTTTACCACTGAGCCACCTGGGAAGCCCATAGTTTTGTCATATTCTGATACTCAGTTTTTATTATGTTACAAGTATTGCTTCCCAATTTGTTCCTTATATTTTAAATTTTTTATGCAAGCTGTCTTGCATCCAACGCTTTAAATTGTAACATGACCAAATCTGTCATAATTTTTTTGCCCCGTCATAATTTTGCTGTGTCTTGAGTGACACCCACATCCCAAGTTCTTATGCAGATGACACCACCCTTATGGCAGAAAGTAAAGAGTAACTAAAAAGCCTCTTGATGAAAGTGAAAGAGGAAAGTGAAAAAAGTTGGCCTAAAACTCAATATTCAGAAAACTAAGATCATGGCATCCAGTTCCAGAACTTCATGGCAAATAGATGGGGAAACAAAGGAAACAATGAGAGACTTAGTTTTATGGGGCTTGAAAATCACTGCAGATGGTGACTGCAGCCATGAAATTAAAAGATACTTGCTCCTTGGAAGAAAAACTATGACCAACCTAAAAAACATATTGAAAAGCAGACACATTACTTTGTCAACAAAGGTTTGTCTAGTCAAAGCTATGGTTTTTCCAGTAGTCTTATATGGATGTGAGAGTTGGACTATAAAGAAAGCTGAGTGCCAAAGAATTGATGCTTATGAACTGTGGTGTTGGAGAAGACTCTTGAGAGTCCCTTGGACTGCCAGGAGATCCAACCAGTCCATCCTAAAGGAGATCAGCCCAGGGTTTTCATTGGAAGGACTGATGCTGAAGCTGAAACTCCAATACTTTGTCCACCTGATGCAAAGAACTGACTCTTTGGAAAAGACCCTGATGTTGGGAAAGATTGAAGACAGGAGAAGGGGATGATAGAGGATGAGATGGTTGTCTGGCATTACCGACTCGATGGACATGAGTCTTGAGTAAGCTCGGGGAGTTGGTGATAGACAGGGAAGCCTGCTGTGATGCAGTCCATGGGGTCGCAAAGAGTTGGACATGACCTAGCAACTGAACTGATCATGGATTTTAATAAGAATGCTTAATTTTTTGCTACCAAATGTTTATCTTACATTTTCACACATACGGTTTATCTAAAATAATATGGTATTTTCTTCCTTTAGTCTGTTAGTCTGACCTTGACTTACTTGAAACATCTTGCATTTCAGAGATAAATATTGGTCAACATTCTTTTACTATCTTCAGTCAAGTTGTTGCTGTTGTTTAGTCACTAAGTCAAGTACCAAATCTAAAATATGTAGGCAAGTCTTTCTTACTCTTATTTTTCCCCTAATTTGGGACTTTCTGGAGCTAGGACAGGGCAGGGTCCCTTACCCAGGGCCATGTTTTCTCACTCCCCAACACACACACGTGACTCAAGGTTCTCTTTTTAAAATCCCAATGTGGGTATAATTTCTAAAATTTTGATCCGTTACTACAGGGCCTAATGGTACAAATGACTGTTGAGAGAGCACATATTAAAGATGGCTTAAAGAAAGTAGGAGATCATATTAAGCAACTGAGGATGTAAATCAATGGCCTTGGATGAGTTTCTTAACCTCTGTGCACCTCAATTTCCCTAAATGTAAAATGAAACCAGTAAGATTCTGAGTCACAGATTTGTTTTGAAAAGCCCACAATAAAATGCATGAAAAGCAACCAGTACAATGCCTAGCACACATACAGGTATTAATGTTTTAGCTGTGAACATTAAAAAACAGAGCAGAACCCCATGGTCCCTGCCCTCCACGACGTCTGCCTGCCTTTTATCTGTGGAAAAACTTTAGACAAAGAATAATTTTAATTAGAAAAGTGAGAAAATGCAGAAACAAAGGAAAACAGTCAAAGAAACCAAATAATAGTCATTAAGCAAAGTCAAGGAGCTCCTTCTCAAGGGCTATAGATAAATATTTGAGCCATATCTTGTGAGCCATCTTACAAATACTGAAACCCTCCCACCAGGTGGAAGAAGTTAACTACATGGTGCCCATGATATAAGCTGCCATAATTTCAAGAACTGGTTTCACTGAAATAGTAACACACTGACCCTGGAACTAAAGACTAACTACGTAAAACCCTGAAGATGACCACGGTCACACCACCAACAACCAATTTGAAGATGACTGTCTCTGTTTCTATGTGTAACCCCCTCTCTTTGTCTATAAAACCTATTGCCCCCTGACTGCTTGGGGGGCTAGTGGGGGTGGTGAGGGGGTGGGGGGCGCGGCGGTCAGACTTTGGATAGGTATCTGCCTCCTCCTCCTCCCCGCCTTGCCAGCATCCAAAATAAAGCAAGCTTTTCTTTCCACCAACTTTGCCTCTTCATTGGCTTTTGGGCAGCAAGCAGAACCATACTTTTGGTTACAATACTGTCACTAACTGCTTTGAGGGCAGCTTCAGACACTGGTGGGCAGCGAGGGGAAATTCCCCAGGGTCAAGAGGCCAACTCCCAGTTTGCGGTCTCCACTCTGCCTCACGTTAGGCCCCTGCCTCCTTCTAGGCTTGAAAAATGGCGGATAATACGACCACGCCGCAGTGACTAGGTGGCTGGGATTAAAGGACGTGAGCTCCTGGAACCTCCCCTGGCTCACCTGCCCGCAAAGAGTGACTGTTTCTATGGCTCGGGTTTACTTTCCACAGCTCCACCAATAGTAAGTGCCTAGCTTGTGATCGCCCGCCATCCCCGCGCGTATGGGAACCTTCGCCTACTCTACTCCGCTCACCCCATGCCCTGCCGCCCGCAGACGGCGGCAGCGGCAACTTCAAACTCAGGAGAGACCAACCGGCCATTCACCTGTGTAAGAGGCCCGCCAAGAACAAAATGGCCACCCTGCGCGCAGGCGCAGTATGTGCCGCGCCCTGGCTGGTGACCCCGCCCCCAGACTCGCTCGCCGCCCGCCCCTCCCATGGCGGCTGGGGAGGGGCCTGAGGGCAACACGGGCTCAGATTGGACAAGGCCTAGTCACGAGGGCGCCATTCTCTTCCGGGCTGTGTGCCCCCAGGGTCTAACGTGTGGAGTGGTGGCTCGGAGCGTTCCCTCGGCTCTTCTGCCCCTGCTGTATGCGGCAGCTTCTGGGGTTTGCAGTCCCAGCTGGCCGCGCCTGGAAGCCCTCTAGGGGCGATCGTGTTAAGGCGAGGAGAACGTGTCTGTGACTACCCTGTGCGGGTTAATTTTGGAAGTGATGGTTAAGGCTCCTGGCTTGAGTCTCCTTTATTTATGCTGTTAATTTTGATGGAGCCCAGCTGGAAGCTGCTCCAGTTAACAATGAGTTCTCAGCTGGAGAGTTAAAGGCACTTGAATTGTAGGTACTGATTTTGTTCTGCTATGGGGGCTTCCATTTGAGCAGTCGGTAGTGAAGTTACAAATTTTTAAGAACATCCAAGTTATCTGAAAACGTGTGGTGAATGGAGCAGAATGAGAGTAAACTGTTGCAGGAGCTTATCTTCTCCGTATAAAGTATACCCAGAGTGTATCTTCTGCAAGGCCTTGTCTTTAAAATTTGTTTCTTTAAAGCAAAGCTGAAAAACAACCAAGGAAAGCAATTTGAGTACAGACTCCTACATCTACATTTTTACAGTTTTTCCCATTCTTTTATGGTTGTTCACCCACAGCTAATTTGACTGCAGTTTTTAAGCATTATCAAGTGTGTCCAAAGCGTTCAAATTTGTTTTCATAGATTCAGTAACTTTTTGAATTAATTTTATTTTTTATATGACACTTATCTAATTGAAATGGCAATATCCTGGTCATAAACAGGCTTTCAAGCAAAGATAGCTGAAGCTTATTAAAGATTATTTCTGCTCATGGGGGACAGGAATGCCCAGGTGTACTGAGACGATGCTGTGAAAGTGCTGCACTCAATATGCCAGCAAATTTGGAAAACTCAGAAGTGGCCACAGGACTAGAAAAGGTCAGTTTCATTCCAATCCCAAAGAAAGGCAATGCTGAAGAATGCTCAAACTACCGCACAATTGCACTCATCTCACACGCTAGTAAAGTAATGCTTAAAATTCTCCAAGCCAGACTTCAGCAATACATAAACTGTGAACTTCCAGATGTTCAAGCTGGTTTTAGAAAAGGCAGAGGAACCAGAGATCAAATTGCCAACATCTCCTGGGTCATGGAAAAAGCAAGAGAGTTCCAGAAAAACACCTTATTTCTGCTTTATTGATTATGCCAAAGCCTTTGACTGTGTGGATCACAATAAACTGGAAGATTCTAAAAGAGATGGGCATACCAGACTGTCAGGAAGCATTTAACAGAGGAACTCTCCGGCCCTTATTGATTCCTGAATATTCAGGAATTAAGAGGAGAGGCACGCCTTTCCCGGGGCTGAGGAATCCAGGCATTTCTCATTATGGTGATAAGTACCCTCTTCCTTTTTATGAGCCAAACGGTAAAAGGTGATTGTTTGCAACTCTCTCTCTTTGATAGGGATCGTCTTATGTTTTGTAAGTCTGGAATTTTAATCTTTGTCTTTGCTGAGAATAACCACCTTGTAAGACAGTATATATGCCCACGCCATGTTGATGAAAACACCTTTGCTCCATCAGAGCTTTGGTCCCCGTGTCTTTCTTTCTATTCCTTCTTTCTTTCTCTCTCTCTATTTCTGGCTAATTCCTTGGAGCGCGGAGGCCAGCTGAGCTCACTTTCTTGCCTGGGCTTCTAAGACCCTCTCGAGAAGGCACACTGCCTTCACCCACTCGAGAGGGCGCCCGGTGCCTACGTGCAGCAGTGTCAGCCCTAAGAACAGGGCTCTATTGGCTTTCTGCGTAAACCAGGGGATATCAGCCTCTTTCTCTCTCTTACTCTCCGGGCCACCAGGTTCCGTCCGTTAAAGGACCAACAAGCGCTATCAGCCTCTTTCTTACTTTCTTATTGTTGACTCCGGACCACCAGGTTCCGGTCCATTAAAGGACCAACACCAGACCACCTGACCTGCCTCTTGAGAAACCTTTATGCAGGTCAGGAAGCAACAGTTAGAACTGGACATGGAACAACAGACTGGTTCCAAATAGGAAAAGGAGTAGGTCAAGGCTGTATATTGTCATCCTGCTTATTTAACTTGTATGCAGAGTACATCATGAGAAACGCTGGCCTGGAGGAAACAAGCTGGAATCAAGATTGCTGTGAGAAATATCAATAACCTCAGATATGCAGATGACACCACCCTTATGGCAGAAGAAGAACTAAAGAGCCTCTTGATGAAAGTGAAAGAGGAGAGTGAAAAAGTTGGCTTAAACCTCAACATTCAGAAAACAAAGATCTTGGCATCCGGTCCCATCACTTCATGGCAAATAGATGGAGAAAGAGTGGAAACAGTGGCAGACTTTATTTTTTGGGCTCCAGAATCACTGCAGATGGTAAACTGCAGCCATGAAATTAAAAGACACTTATTCCTTGGAAGGAAAGTTATGACCAACCTAGATAGTATATTAAAAGGCAGAGATATTACTTTGTCAGCAAAGGTGCATCTTGTCAAGGCTATGGTTTTTCCAGTGGTCATGTATGGATGTGAGAGTTGGACTATAAAGAAAGCTGAGCGCTGAAGAATTAATGCTTTTGAACTGTGGTGTTGGGGAAGACTCTTGAGAGTCCCTTGGACAAAGGAGATCCAACCAGTCCATCCTAAATGAGATCAGTCCTGAGTTTTCATTGGAAGGACTGATGTTGAAGCTGAAACTCCAATACTTTGTCCACCTGATGCAAAAAGCTGACTCATTGGAAAGGACCCTGATGCTGGGAAAGATTGAGGGCAGAAGGAGAAGGGGATGACAGAGGATGAGATGGTTGGATGGCATCACCGACTTGATGAACATGGGTTTTGGTGGACTCTGGGAGTTGGGAGGCCTGGCGTGCTGCAGTTCATGAGGTCGCAAGGAGTTGGACACGACTGAGCGACTGAACTGAACTGTGAGTACCATGTAGTAGCCCATTAGCCATATGTGCTTTGCATCTCATAGGTATCAAGTTAATAACTCCTGTTTGAAATTGAGATGGTCATTTAATCCTTTCACAGACATGACTTGGTGTGACATAGTTAAGTGGACATAGATAGGAGAGCGACTACTGTCCTGTGGTGTCCACATTATGGTGCATTAACTCTCTATACCAGTCAGATCCAAAAAATTTCCTGATGAATGTAACTTTTGTTTTGAAACCCAGACTGTATTAGTTCAGAGGAAAATAGGAATAGTCTGGAGAAGGAAATGGCAACCCACTCCAGTATTCTTGCCTGGAAAAATCCACGGACAGAGGAGTCTGGCAGGCTGAAGTCCATGGGATTACATGACTGAGCATGTGTGCACGAGGGTGGAGGGAGATGGGTTGGTAGCAATAAACTGGTAGAACTAAAAAAAATAAAATAAAATAAAAAATAAAAAAAATTAAAAAAAAAGAAAATAGGAATAGTCACATTATACTTTCCTTAAACTGAAATGCACATGATATGATTCTAGACTACCGGCAACCCTTCGTCATTCCTCTTTAAAACGTGTTGCCTGTAACAGTTTGCTTTGATTGGTGCAGCATATAGTAGTATTATCACAGTTAGATTAACTTTTAAGCTAACAGGCCCTACTATTGGCTCCTCAAAATTATTTAATTCAATCTCCAGTCCCTTTCACATGCCTTCCCTGATCCCATGTCATTCCTATGCCTGATGAACTGGTTCTTCTGTTTGCTTATAAATTTTGTTCATAACCAATAATGCTGATCACATTTTATTGTAGTTACTCATCTCTTCCTGTGATGTGGGTTGAGATCTGTATGTGTAATCAGTTATGTTTTATGTTTTGCTGGGCCTGCCATGATATCACAGATGTATGGGTGGTTGAAAAAAACAGAAATTTACTTTCTTACAGTTCAGGAGGCCAGACAGCAAAGATCAAGTTGTTGGCACATTGGTTGCTTCTGAGGCACCTCTCCTTGACCTGCAGATATCTGACCTATCGCTGTGTTTTCATAAGGTCATCCACCTCCCACAGTTCTTCATTTTTGGCTTTTGTATATGGTGAGTCTTGTTTCAGTGTTCTGCTAAAATTTTCATCTTTAGTCATTGAGTTTTATAATACCATGCCCAATTTTTAGTGGTTCTGGATGGGAATTGATGGTGTAATTGGGAAGCATGAGGTCCAACTTTGGGGGCCTGGCTCTCATTCTTGAGTGTGTTTCAGGTACCAGTGTGGGTCCCTCTCTTTTGGTGTTCTGCAGAGCTCAGTAGTGTCTGACTCTTTGTGACCCTATGGTTGGACTGTAACCCTCCAGGCTTCTCTGTCCATGTCATTCTCCAGGCAAGACTACAGGAGTGGATAGCCATTTCCTACTCCAGGGGAGCTTTCCAATTAAGGGATGGAAACTGCATCTCTTGCATTGCAGGTGTATTCTTTACTGCTTAGCTACCAAGGAAGCCCCCTTTAGTATTTTACTTCTGTGCGGAGATTTGGGATTCCACAGGCACATGGAGCCACTTAGACAGTAGTTGATTTGGTGTATTTTCTTAGGCGGTAGCTTGCGTAGGTTTTAGAAACCTAGATTCTTTCCTGCAGAGATTCTGATTTTAAAGCTCCAAGTGAAGTCCCAAGAATTTTTCCTCTTTTTTTCTTAGGCAAGCATGCCAGGTAATCCTGGGGCTGGTGATCCTTTTACTGCACACTGAGAAATTCGCACTCAGAAATCAGCGCAGATGCTAACACATGGGCCTGAGCAGACCTTGCACTTGCTGACTGTGCAGTGTGACTGCCACCTCCTGGCCACAGGGGAGACATCTCTTTATTGTTGCTCGTCCTCCTCTAGCTCAGTTGGTAAAGAGTCCACCTGCAATGCAGGAGTCCCTGGTTCAGTTCTGGGTCGGGAAGATCCCCTGGAGAAGGGCTAGGCTACCCATCCCAGTATTCTTGGTTTTCCCTTGTAGCTCAACTGGTAAAGAATCTGCCTGCAATGAGGGAGACCTGGGTTGGGAAGATCCCCTGGAGAAGGAAAAGGCTACCCACTCTGTTATTCTGGCCTGGAGAATTCCATGGACAGTCCATGGGGTTTCGGAGAGTCAGATTCGACTTTCACTTTCACTTTTTTACTTTCCTCCTCCAGGTTGTTGTCCTTCAGAAGAGTAGTAGGAAGATTACTACTGCTCCAGGAAATAAAATCAAGAAAAAAAGTTTCTTGGTCCTGTTTGCTGAGAAGTTAATATCACCACGTAGGAAGGGAGCCACAGGGGCCAAATTTCCAAAAGACAGGAGGAGTGCCAAGCTCAAGGACCATGAGAAGAGGACTGAGGGTTTTTTTAATTATTTCAAAATAAAAGGTTGAATGACAGTGAATTTTTTTGTCTTAGATGTGTGTATATAGTCAGACTTACGAGCAGTTACTCCCAATATGAATTTGTTATTTTCATTCTCAGCAAGTCTGTGCGGCAGTAATTGATTAGGTGGGTTTTCATTTAGATTCTAGAAAAGAAACCTTGTGTCCTACACGGGCTAAGGGGAGAGCAGCCTTTCCCTGGGGGTGAAGGAAAATGAGCAGGATCGTGAGGGTGACGACAAAGGCTGAGAGGAAGAGGAAGGTCAGAAAGACTGAAACCACATTGCAGGTGGATTCTTTGCCAACGGAGCCACCAGGGAAGATCCTGGTATGGACTGCAGCACACCAGGCTTCCCTGTTCTTCACTGTCTCCCAGTTTGCTCAAATTCATGCCCTTTGAGTCGGTGATGCTGTCTAACCATCTCATCCTCTGTCACCCTCTTCTTCTTTTGCTTTCAGTCTTTCCCAGCATCATACCATAGCCTGGATCTGCTCCCATGGCTTGGACCACAGAGAGTTCGGTGCTTTATTTGATGAGTTAGATGCACAAAACAGAAGCGTGCTCTGCTCCAAGGGACTGAAGTGGCTGAGTCATGGTGTAGTCCTAAGGCAGTTTTTGGAACTGGTGGAAGAAATTGACTTTTTCATGTCCCCTGGAGGAGAATCTGTGCCTCAGCTTACGAGCAGAGATTGGGTCAGAGACTTTGCCTTTTTGGTCATCATTGTGACACATCTAAACATGTTGGCTATTTCTCTAGAAAGGCATTCACAGGTGGTGACACAAATGTATAATTCAGTTGACTCATTTCTGGTGAAATTGTGTCTTTGGGAGACTCATTTGGCACAGAACAACCTGGCCCACTTTCCTATGCTGAAGTTAGTTTCTGAAAATGAAAATGATGGCCTGAACTACATTCCTCAAATTAAAGAGTTGAAGACTAAATTCCAAAAAAGGTTCTCCAATTTCACACTTTATGAGAATGAACTAATACTGTTCAGTTCCCCTTTCTCAATTAGGATTCATAATGTGAATGAAGAGCAACAAATGGAAGTTAGTGAATTGCAGTGCAATACTACACTGAAAGCCAAATACCACAACGTTGAGATTCCAGAATTCTACAGATATCTTGGGAATGGTTACCCTAAATATAAACACCATTGTGCAAAGATTCTGTCCATGTTTGGAAGTACTTACGTTTGTAAGCAGCTATTCTCTGTTATGAAACTAAAGAAAACCTAAATGTGGCTCCCAGTTAAAGGATTCAAGGATGAATTCTCTGCTGTATGTTGCAACACGAGGTCCACCGCCTGTTGTTGACTGACATCTTGAGGAATAAGAAAGGAATGTCAGATTTTGAATTTCAAATCTGAAGAGTAATAAATTATGGAAATTTGAACAGTTATTTCTATTTCCAAATTATATATTTTTTCAACGTCAAATTTAAAGTGCAATCTCTGGCATTGTATATTTGTACCTTATAGCATGTAAAAATAACATTTGATTATATCCTGGCAGTTTGTTTTTTTCTATTCTTTGCCTTTCTAGCACTTAGACTATTCAAATTTATAAACCTCTGCCCTAAAGGCAGCCACACTTTCCTTTAAGGTACTTGTGAACCAGGGCGTCAGCTAGAAGGATAGAATCTTTAGACTCTTTGTGCAACCCTGTCCTGTAGGAAGACAGACATACCAAACTGACTGAGGGGCTCAGGCCACGTGTGCACTCATGGGCCTTCTCCAGAGTAAATTCTCTGGGCATCACATGAGCCACAGGCTGATTTCCAGGGGTGGGATTCCTCTTCCATTCTGCCAGGCCCTGAGAAGGCCAGAGAACCACCCTGTCGTCCAGGGAAGGAGAGGAAGATGGCATCAGTGACCCTCAGGACAGCCTCCCAGCGGAGGTCCTGGCCACTGAGGAGGAAAAACTCAGCTGGACAGTCACCGTTGAGCAAAGGGGGAATAGAGGCTGTAGGACCGGTCTCAACCCACGGCTCCAGTCTTGGCTGGGCCATCAGTGCTCCCCAGAAGTCTTCCATTTCCCTTGTCCTCATGACCCCCTCTTCTCCCCAGAAGCCAGACCGTTCTCACTCTCATTTGGTAAGATCACCTACTAAATAAAGCCGTGGAACCCCTCCCCTCCCGTCACCTGTATACTCTGTGGATCTGCAGCCTCCTCCCCTCCTAAGGTACCTTCCTCCTGTCTCTGACTGATCTCCACCCCCCACTGAACTCCAGTCTCCATCCCTGCCTCTTTAGGGCTTTCCTCCATCTTCTACCTTTCTGTATTTCTGGGATTTTTGTTTGTACTGGCTCCTTCCACCAAAATTAGACATGACCATGGAGGACTTCCCTGGTGGTCCTGTGGCTAAGACTCTGCATTCCCAGTGCCAGGGGCCCTGGTGTGGGGTCTTCTAAGCTCCTTCACTGTTCGTTGTTGTGGTTTAGCTGCTAAGTTGTGTCCAACTCTTTTGTTACCCCATGGGTTCTAGCCTGAAGGCTTCTCTGTTTGTGGGATTTCCCAGGCAGGAATACTGGAGTGGATTGCCATTTCCTCCTCCAGGGAAGGCATGATCTCTAAGAGTTGTTTCTACACCCATGTTCACAATAACTAAAATCCAAGTGTCTCTCAATGGATTGATGGATAAACAAAATGTGGTTTAATACATATGATGGAATATTAGTCATCCCTAAAAAGGAAGAAAGTTCTGACACATGCTACAAATTTATGAACCTGAAAACATTATGCTAAGTGAAATAAACCAGACTAAAAAAAAAAAACAACAAAAAAACAACAAAACCCAGTATGATTTTACTTATTTGCGATGCTTAGAGTAGTCAAAAATCACAGAAGCAGGAAGTTGAACAGTGGTTGCCAGGTCTGTGGGGAGGGAAGCTGGGGAGTTCTTGTTTCATGGGTATAGAGTTTCAGCTTTATAAGATGAAAAGAGCTCTGGGGATAGTTGGTGGTGATAATTGCATAACATTATGAACGTATTTCATAATATCAAACTGTGCATTGAAGAAAATTAAGACGGTAAACTTTGTTGTGTGTATTTTATCACAATAAAAACATCTAAGGAAGAAACGCCCAAACATCTCACCTAACATTGGACCACAGAGCCCCGTGTAATAGGGGCTCCCTTGTCTCTGATCTCCACTTCAGTCCCCGTGGCACACCAGATATTTGCCTTCTTTCTGTCCTTTGAGTCTTTTGACATGGCTGTTCTGCTGCTTGGAGTACTTCTCTCTAGTTCTTCTGACACTCGGACTAGAGCTTAAATGTTGCCACTTCAGAGAAGCCTCCCCTGACCTATCTTAGAATGACCACCTCCACCTGGTCTACCTCGTCACTCCTTGTTTTGTCTTCACTCAGGTGATGTTCTTACTCCCCAGATGTTCTGTCCTTCTCCGTGCATCATATCAGGAGGCATGTGTTGTCCATCTGCCCCTTTCCAGGCCATGTACACATTGGTCATTTGGTTAAGATGATTTCTGTCAGGTTTCTTCATTATAAATAACTTCTTTAGGGACTTCCCTAATGGTCTAGTGGTTAAGACTCCATGTTCCCAATGCAGGGGCCCGAGTTTAATCCGTGGTCAGGGAGCTAGATCCCACATGTGGCAACTAAGACCTGGCACAGCCAAATAAATAAATTGATATTTTAAAAATAAAATTACTCATTTTTAAGTATCTTATAGAGAGATACTTTGCAATTCTCTAAATATCCTATTTCTTTTTTTAAAATTTTTTTAAATTTTTTAAAATATCCTATTTCTTATCCTACTTCTTCCCCACCACTCAGCATCTGTCACTAACTCTTGCCTGACACAGTTCAGTCGCTCAGTCATGTCCCAGCTCTTTGTGACCCCATGGACCACAGCATGCCAAGCCTCCCTGTCCATCACCAGCTCCCGGAGTTTTACTCAAACTCATGTCCATTGAGTCGGTGATGCCATCCAACCACCTCATTCTCTGTCGTCCCCTTCTCCTCCTGCCTTCAAACTTTCCCACCATCAGGGTCTTTTCAAATGAGTCAGCTCTTTGCATCAGGTGGCCAAAGTATTGGAGTTTCAGCTTCAACATCAGTCCTTCCAATGAACACCCAGGACTGATCTCCTTTAGGATGGACTGGTTGGATCTCCTTGCAGTCCAAGGGACTCTCAAGAGTCTTCTCCAACACCACAGTTCAAAAGCATCAATTTTTCAGCACTCAGCTTTCTTTATAGTCCAACTCGCACATCCATACATGACTACTGGAAAAACCATTGTCTTGATGAGTTGGACCTTTGTTGGCAAAGTAATGTCTCTGCTTTTTAATATGCTGACACAGTTATTACCAGGGTATTTGCCAAGTGGTTATTTTCAGTTTTCCTCATTTTACATTTATGGGTTAGAATCTACTATGAGAAAGGATTTTCCCCTCCACCCTCCTTTGTTTTATTTTATTTATTTATTTATTTATTTTATTTTTATTTTTGGCCACACTGCTCGGCTTGTGGGACTCTTAGTTCCCTGACCAGGGATTGAACCTGGGCCTTTATAGTGAAAGCATGGAGTCCTAACCACTGGACTACCAGGGAATTCCCCTGCCTTTATTTATTTATTTCTTCACTCATTCAAATATTTATATTGATATGGACTCACAGATTCCTATTTTATGCTGTAGGTTCTTATTCTATGGATTATCATCCATTACTATCATTATTTTGTCTGTTGTATTGTCCCTAGTTTGGCATGGGGATGGGACATTCAGGTTGCCTCCTTGCATCTATTGACGTGTCCCAGTATGTCCCCATTTATTCTTTGAGCTCTTTCTTCCCTTCTGACCCCATAAGATGTTGGAGGCTCATCTTGTACTTTCCTTGCCATAGCCCTGGAAATAGCCATTTCCCCGAGGATTCTTGGTGCCTGTTATTGGAGAATGGCTTTAGACACCAAGATCTAGGAGCTGGGTGAGTTCACTAGTGTTGGGCAGTATGAGTTTCAAGCTGTCTCAGTAGTCAGAGTTGGGAAGTGTATATGCACACACATTCTCATCCAAAGCTATTTCTATATATCAATATGTATTTTTGAAAACCATGAGTTCACACCGGTGCCCCCAGTTCCAGTTCAACACCATGGTGTTTATTTTAGCCTACCCTCATTCCTTCTTTCCTTTGTTTTTTTTGGCTGTGCTGGGTCTTCATTGCTTTGCGTGGCTTCCTCTTGTTGCTTTCATCAGGGGCTCTTCATTGCGGTGCAAGAGCTTCTTACTGGGCTTGCTCCTCTTGTGAAGCACGCACAGCTCCAGGTACATGGGCTTCAGCAGTAGCAGTGTGCAGGCTCAGTAGTTGGGGCTCGAGGGCTCTAGAGCTTGGGCGCATTGGTTGTGGCGCATGGGCTTAGCTGCTCCGAAGCATGCAGCACCTTAGTTCCTGGACCAGGGATAGAACCTGTGTCCTCTACCTTGGCAGGCGGATTCTTCATCCACTGTACCACCAGGGAAATACCTTCTCCCTTATTTGTAAATTGTTTTTTTGACAGAAATCTGGCTTTTATTAGTTACCAGATATTTACTTATTTGCTTAGTGCTAGATTACACATAAGCAGTTTCTGAATGTTTAACTCAGCTCTGTGAAAAACAAACCTGCTACTCAGAGTACATGCTGTTCTGTTTTTCCCTAGAGTAGATGGCCAAATACTCTTTCTGAAGTCGCTCAGCTGAGTGTCCCCCGGTGTCCTCGGTGTCGTGATAGTCTCCACTGTAGCACAGTTGGGCTCCTTTGTTCCTGTTTATATTCCACTTTGGGTAGTCTCTACTCCCCTATTCCCAATTGCTTGTTGATTAAAATTTTGTTTAATTTTTGCAACACAGTAATGATTCTAAGAATGGGAACTGGATCTTCCCTCATGGTCCAGCAGTTAAGACTCCATACTTCCATCTTAGGGAGTGCAGGCTCCATCTGTGGTCAGGGAACCAAGATCCCACAGTCCACACAGTGTGGCCCCAAAGTAACAACAGCAGCAAAGTCAGAACTACACAGAGATACTCAGAGAAGTGTCACTTCCCCATGCCTTCTCCCTGGTCCCGTTCTTCACACCCACCCTGACCCTCCCACAAGTAAGCAATCTCACTGGTTTCTGATTTATCTGTGTGTATTACCGTATTTCTTTTTGCATATGTGTATAATTTCTAGTTCCCCTTCGTTGCATGATAGGTAATAAATAGATCACTTTTGTGTTTTGCTTTTTTCACTTTCCAGTTTCTTAGCAACCATTAGTAAACATTTTGGGCTATTATGTTATGACCCTGCTTACTCACCAACCGTTCATTTCGACAGTGTCCCCGTCTTAGAAGGGGATGTAGAGAGAGGTCAGGCTGAAGAGGCAGGCAGGGTCAGATCCTGGCCAAGGAGGTTGCTTGCTGCCCTCAAGAACTGGTACAGGATGGACTGGGATGAGGCCAGGGCCAGGGCCAGGGGTGAGGAGACAAGGAGACCAGCCAGGAGGCCCTGCAGTGGCATCGGCCTGGACCGAGGCAGAAAGATGGAGAGAAGGGGACAACTGCGGAGGGCAACATCTGGAGATGTGGGGACAGCAGACAGAGGCACAGAGGCAAGGATGCCTCCTGGATTTCTAGCTTGGTGACCAGGGGAGAGAGTGAAGGCAGAAGATCTGGTTTGAGGGAATCTGAGAGGCTGATTGAGTTTCAGGCAGAGCTTGTTAGAGGGCCATGGTAGGGGGTGTGTGACATCACAGAGAATGGTGCTTTATTTATTTTTATTTATTTCTCTGGCCACGCGATCTGGCTTGTGGATCCCAGTTTCCTCACCAAGGATTGAACCCGGGCCCTTGGCAGTGAAAGCATGGAAGCCAGGGAATTCTGGGTGGTGCTTAAATGATGGCTGCACATGCAATACCAAGAAATGAGATTCAGTAACAGGTGTGGGAGCTTCTTTGGTGGTCCAGTGATTAGGACTCCAAGCTTCCAATGCAGGGGGCTCAGGTTCGATCCCTGATTGGGGAACTAAGATCCTCCGTGTCGTGAGTGTGGCCAAAAACCAAAACAAAAGAGTGTGGCATGATGTTAAATGAAAGAAGGCAGACCCAATGACGTTCTGGAAAAGGTAAAACAAGAGAGACAGGAAGTGGATCAGTGGTTGCTGGGGGCTGGAGTAAGGGCCTGGGAGAAATCTTGGGGGTGTGGAAATACTCTGGATTATACCGTGACTGTATGTGTTTACTAAAACTCATTGAACTGTGCATCCGAAAGGGTGAGTTTCACTGTGTGTAAATTACACCTCAATAAGGGACTTTTTAGTGAAGTGGAAGGAAGCCTAGGGGACTCTGATGGCTGTGGGGCAGTGAGTGAGGAATGTGCAGAGGAGAGTGAGGGCCCCTGAACTGAGCCCTGAGACTCTGTGGAATAGAAGAATTGAGTGTCAGATACCAGCGGAGACAAGCAAGACGAGACCCACAACCAGGCCATTGATGACCTTGACCAGAGAGGATTTTTCTTCCCCATGTGGGGTCCCATCCTCCCCACGTGGGTCTCCATCCTCCACACCTGGAGTCCCTGTCTTCCCCACGTGGTGTCCCCATCCTCCCCCTGTAGGGTCCCCGTCTTCCCCCCTTGGAGTCTCTGTCCTCCCCCTTGGGGTCCTCGTCCTCCCCCCAGGGGTCACCATCCTCCCCATGTAGGGTCCCTGTCTTCCCCTTAGAGTCTCAGCCCTCCCCACGTGGGGTCCCTGCCCTCCCCACGTGGGGTCTCCATCTTCCCCCGTGGGAACCTCGTCCTCCCCCGTGGGGTCCCCGTCTTCCCCCTTGGACTCTCCGTCATCCCCCGTGGGATCCCCGCCCTCCCCACATGGGATCCCCGCCCTCCCCACATGGGGTCCCTGCTCTCCCCACGTAGGGTCTCTGTCCTTCCCCCTTGGGGTCCTCATCCTCCCCCCCTGGGGTGCCCGTCTTTCCCCATGTAGGGTCCCTGTCTTCCCCTTAGAGTCTCCGTCCTCCCCTGTGGGGTCTCCGCCCTTCCCCCTTGGAATCTCCGTCGTCCCCCGTGGGGTCTCCGTCCTCTCCCCGTGGGGTCCCCATCCTCCCGCCTTGGGATGTCCGTCCTCCCCACATTGGGCCCTTATGGTTTCTAGGCTTCCCAGGAGACAGTGAGCTGAGGAGACCAGAACGATCAGGAGCCCCCGGAAGGCTGATGGAAAGCAGCAAGGGGAAAGGCCCAGCCCATTTCTGGGACGTAGCAGTGATGGGGATCCCCGAGGCCACGTGAGTCCTGCCACCCAGCACCATAATTTAGGGCCAACCGCAAAGTGAAAGTGAGGGCTCCTGTTCAACAGTTAGTAAGACTCCAAGGCGGCAGGGCATGAAACCAGTCTCAGGGCCCTTCCAAGTGTGGGTGGCATGCTCATGAAGCTGGCCCTGCTGCCACCTGAGAGCTGGGTTCCCAAGAAGGCACAGGAGACCACAGGTTCTGGCTGGGGAGGCCCAGCTTGGTTCTCGGCAGCTGCGGCTCCCAGGATCTGCCAGAACCACGACATGCCTCTGGACTGCCATCTGCTGTTCTTATCTGGCCATTGCATCTCCTTTCAGAGAAAAGGACCTTGGGTGGAACAGGAAAAGCGGCTTGATCACCAGGTGACCCAGCCCTTACTTTCACTGAAAAGAAAACTGCCCTGGAGGGGACATTCTGCCCCAGGTCGCATTGGCCACAGCACAGAACTGTTGTGCTTGAACCTGTAAAGTAGAGCTGATACACCCCCATGCAGATGAGGAAAGGAAATTAAGAATTTGAGGGACTTCCTGGTAGTCCGGTGGCTAAAACTCTGCACTCCCAATGCAGGGGGCTTGGGAGTGGATTGCCATTTCCTCCTCTAGGGGAATCTTCCCAACCCAGGGATCGAACTGAATCTCACATGCCTCCTGCATTGGCAGGTGGATTCTTTATCACTAGCACCACCTGGGAAGCCCTCTGGTCAGGGATGGTCTTGTGCTAAGTCGCTCAGTTGTGTCCGACTCTCTGTGACTTTAGGGCCTGTAGCCCACCAGGCTCCTCTGTCCATGGGGTTCTCCAGGCAAGAATACTGGAGTGGGTTGCCATTCCCTCCTCCAGGGGATCTTCCCCACCCAGGGATCGAACCTGTGTCACTTATGTCTGGTCAGGGAACTAGATGCCAAATGCTGCAACCGAGAGATGGAATGTGGAACAACAGCAACAAAAAAGGTGCCACAACTAAGAGATTCCTCACACTGCAACGAAGGTCAGGGATCCTGCATGCCACAACTAAGACCCAGCGCGGCCTAATAAATAATAAAAAGAAAAGAGAATTTGACTTTCTTGGCTATCGTGGTTGTCTCTCATGGCCCTTCTCTTATCTGGGCACTTCCCTAATGGTTCTTTGGGTATGAACTGGGCCTGGGGCTGGGATAGGCAGCCCAGGCCCTCACAGAGCAGCGTCAGCCCAGGAGTGGGCCTCGAACCCAAGGACAGTGGAGGGGACTTCTTTTTGGCTGCGGCTGCTGGAAAAGATGTTTCCTAGCTCCCTCTGGACTAAGATGTGTAGACATGGGGGTCACTGCTTGAACTGCA